TCTGCTACCCTTCTTGCTCCTCCACCGCTAAAACGGCCAACTGATCACCACGCGCCTCCGTCGTCGTCGTCGTCGTCAATAATGGTTTCATCTTATGCGAGCAAAGGCTGAAGCTACTTCAGGCTCTGTTTGATCTGTGTGTATGTGAACCCTATCTTGTTGATTCAATAAAATTTCTTGTGCCTTGCATGCTTGTGGAGTTTGCTATTTTGCAAACTCGTAATTGCTTGCAGCCTCTTGATCCCTATTTTAATTAATCCCCTGTTGCTTGCACTAATTATTTTTGCAATTTAATTAATATATAAATCAGCAAAAAAAATCAATATTATCTACCCCAACTGGGAAAAAGCATTTTTTGCCTCATTTTTCATAATTTTTTTATTAAGTATAAGGAGTAGCTTGATGATAACAGAAAATATCTCCCTCAAAATACTAAAAGTAATGGATAGATCTTTCACAGTTAAATTGCTATATGCATGAGAGTTGGGGTTCAAATTTTCAACCACTTGTTTAAATAATGAAAACCTTTGTCACTCATGCTGATAGACTCTAATTAGAATTTTTCATAAATTGATGCTAATGAGTCCGTTAAAAAGGGAAAAAAATCTGGAATTCTTCCGAAAAATCATGAAAATAAAGGAGAACACTGTGCAATAAAAAAAGGGTTGGAGGGGGGAGAAGTACTTCTTCCACTTTCAAATTTAAGCCACCAATAATTACTTCATCAAAATTTTAAAAAATTTAGACGGCTAATTTTTTTTCTAAAAATGACCTTAATTAAATAACTTAAAGATATTCTCTCTTCCTCTTGTCCTTAGTGAGAAAAACTTGACCATGTAATTAATTAGTGAATGGTATTGGTGAAATAAATTAATTACTTCTCTAGAATCCAAACATATATACTCCCTCCGTTTTTATAAATAAGAGAAAATTTTATGAATAAGAGAAAAAATATATTATAATTTAAAAAGTTAGTTAATTATAATAATTATGTCTGAAAATAAAAAGGTGAACTAAAATCATGCATTAATTATTTTTTATTAATATAAATTATAAAAAATAATTTAAAAAATGTGTGACTAATGTTTATTGAAATGAGTAATTTTATTTATAAAAAATATAAATTAAAGTGATAATTTTTTAAATAATAAAAAACGGGGAGGATATGGATAAGTATCCTATATTTGAGTGATGAGGTAATATACTAGGATGTATGGTTTACTTATTGGTTGTCTTTATTCAAATTTCATGAATAAAATCATGTGGTATTATAGTATCAGCGAGTCACTTCGTGAATGATGGAGAGCACTCACTAGCTGTTCACCACGTCACAACCGAACTTCAAAACGCGCGCGCGCACAAAGAGGGAGGAGGATTGATTAATATATGTTTGATCGGCAAGGCATTTGGTGCCCATTAATATCACCCCTATAGAGTGATCTGGCCCTTCCTTTTTTTTTTTCAAGTAATCTCTACCGTTAATTTAAAATAATATTTTAAATATTTTTATATCATATTTATCAAAATAAAAATTATAGTATTTATTGATTGTTCATAGTATATTTAGATAATCAATTGGTTAAAATTATAAAATTTTTAATATTAAATTAAACATTTCAAACTATATTTGTACTATTCAGAATACATCTGAATAGTTAATTTATAAAAATTATTAAAAATAATATTAAATTGATCATTCAAATTAAATTTGTATTAGTTAGATTGGTGATAAACAGATTTATTAAATATTTATATATTTTTTACATGTTTTTTATTTTAATAAATATAAAAAAAAGTAAAAAGATAAAATTTGAATTATCTAAATCTTCTCAGGAGTGACAAGTATCATAATATTTATCCTTTAATAAGCATAAAAAATAATCCATATTTAATATTATCATTTTTTATAATTATTATTTTAATAAATATAATATAAAAATATTTAAAAATAATTTTAAGTTAATGGTAGAGATTATTTGAAGAGAAACGAAAGGTTCAAATCACCCCTAAGAGAGATGAGCACGGGGCCATGCGTTTCCATATTTGATCTGCTTCGGATGGTTTAAAAACGAAGAATAACGTTGGCCCAAAAAAAAAAAACAGGGAGAGAATAACAATGAAGAACTTTAATAGGTGAGTCGGTGCAATGGGGGAGCCAACGTTGGGTGACCTATGTGGTCTAACATCAAAGACAATTTAACTGTATTTAATAATAGTTTTTCTTAAACTTTATTTAAACAACTTATCAAAATGAGAGAAATTCGTTACGATAAAGAAGCTAATATCCGTGCTGCATGCCCTTGCAGTAAATCCATTTTTACTTCTATTTATAATTAATAATTAATAATCGTTTAGGATAATTTAAACCATAATAAATAAACAAGAATAAATTTAAAAAAAAATTAATTAATCTAAATTTGTCTTATATTAATTTTTTATCTCTATAATTTGACTTATATTAGGCACAGAAGGGAGTATATATAATTCTAAACGAGTGCAGGCATGCTACACAATTAAATATTCTTTGTACTACTTCCTTTATAAAAAAATATAAAGTATTTTTAACTAAATCTCACTCCTCAATAAAGTAATTACCTACTTTTAAATTAATCCTATCTTTTCATATTTACTCCTATTAAACACCCTATAATAAATATAAAGTCATTATCAATAGAGGCACTTTTAAAAAAAAGACAATAATTATACATTAAAATACTAAAAATGTCTTACATTTTTTAATATCTAACTCTTCAAAAAATATCTTATATTTTTAAATGGGGGGAGTACAATATAGGATATTGATAACTATTTTGGAATACTAAAAAAAAGTTTGGTGAAATCTTTATTTTTAAAAAAATTGTGCATCTTCTCAATTATATCCTCATTTATATAAATTTCTTAATAATGATGATTAAAATTTTAATGCATGATTTATGTTTTAAAAAATAACAATAAGTAGGGGTATATTTAAAAAATATTTCTAAAAAGTACTCAATATTTTTTAGATTTTAAATCGAATAAGACTTTTAGAAAATGTCATATGTTGTAGATCCAATGGAGTACATATAACTTGGGGATAGAGTCAAAATTTAAAGAAAAAATAATAATAAAATCCTTTTAAATTATATAAATAACGTTTTGATCTCTTAAAATATCATAATTTCTTTGAAGTTTTTAGAAACTTTTTTGTCATTAAAGAATTAATGTAAATAACTAAATTGCCCTTAATTCAAACTTGCAAATAACTATTGAATTCTTACAATTTTAACAAGAAAATTTGTAAATCTTAAAACAAAATTTGTGAATAGTAATTGATATTTACAACATTTGAGAAATATCATGATTTTGTATACGAACTTAAGAATTGCTATTGAATTCTTGATCTGGGAACAAAACTTGTAAATAACAATTGATATTTGAATTAAAGACAACTTGATCATTTATATTAATTTTTTAATGATAAAAAAGTTTCTAGAAATTTCAGGAAAATTATGGCATTTTAAAGAACTAATATGTCACTTATATAATTTAAGAAAATTTTATTGTCATTTTTGAAAATTTAAAAAGGCGCCCACACATATAATACGAACCAATAAGTATTAAAGATTTGAAAAGTATAACATTTATATAATATCATGAAAATATTAAAAATTTGAAGACCATGACCGTCCCTAACGAATCCTCCTAATGGAAGAATGCCTTATTAAAATAATAACAAATAAAGGCCTTTTTTGAAAAATATCAAAGACTTCTTACAATTAAAAATTTAGGAATTTACAACTTAAAAAATTTTATTTTACACTAATTTTTTTAGGGTCTTTAATTATCATTCTTCCTAAAAAAAAAAACCCAATTCTATTTCTATTCTTCGACGCTGAAGCGTAAAAGCAATTTTTGTGCAGACAATGTCCTGGCACTCAAACTCAGCCGTCCAAATTGTTTCGGCTAGCCCAAAAAAACATTGTTTTGAAGATATCCCGCGAGACTTTTTTTTATTTATTTTTTGTTTGAAATTTAAATAAACAATGACTAGCACTATTTTTCGAATAAAAAATTCCATAGATGTCTCTATTATTTTAAAATATTTACAAGCATTTAAAAAAAATCTTGAAATTTTAGGGACATCCCAAAGCGTTGTGTGTAAATTATGGACACCTGATTATTTATCTACCCCCTGAAAAACTTATTTTGCAATCTCAATACCAAAAAAAGATAATTTTCTAAATAACATAACTTATACTCCATCGTTTAAAAATATAAGATATTTTTTAAGGAGTTGGATATTAAAAAATGTAAAGCATTTTTAGTGTTTTGAGGTGTAATCATTGCTTTTTTTTTCAAAAGTGCCCCCTGTTGATGATGATTTTATATTTATTATAGGGTGTTTAATGGGAGTAAATATGAAAAGATAGGATTAGTTTGAAAGTAGGTAACTACTTTATTAGGGAGTGAGATTCAATAAAAAATGTCTTATATTCTTTAACGGAGAGAGTATACTTAGCCTTATATACTTAATATACTTTTATCTAATCATATCAGTAAGTGAATTTTAATGTATTATTAATATTAATAACAAGATTTTTTTATTGAATAAGTAATATATAAAGAATCTATGTGTCTTCATCTAATTGGAAACAAGTATTTTATATATTTAAGTAAATATTGTTAAGTATCTAAGTTTCCCCTTTTTAAATTTAAAGCACTAACTACTTGTCTTAATTAATAAAGATTTTCTTTCGTAAAATAGATCCACAATGAGAAGATGGATATATGTGATGAGTAATTATATCCATATGAACCGCACAATGAGCTATCACGGAGCAGTACTTGCTTCCAAATTTACTTATCGAAATCTCAAAAATCTAATCTCAACCGTCGGTGTTGTTTTCCTTTTCCTTTGATTTTGATCTCCTTTTCCTTCACGTGTGTATTTCTTTGGGAATGAATATCATATAATTATATATCAAAAAGAGAAAGAAGAAAGAAAAACCCTCAAGTTGCCCTATAAAGAACCCTCTCTTTTTGCTGGGCTTTCCAAACACAGTAGCTGAAGAGAAAAAAGATAAGATGTCTCTGAAGAAGAAAGTGATGCTGAAGGTGGCTCTGGTGCTGTTCCTGATGGCCCTCGCAGCAACCGGCGGGGAGGCTCGCCGTGATCCTAACACTTTGTTGGCGGAGGCGATGATGAAAGGCGAAGGCAATTACATAGTGAAATCAACAACGAGCGCCTGCTGCAACAAGTGCATCTGCACAAAATCAAACCCACCTCAATGCCAGTGCAATGATGTGGGAACCACCTGCCACTCTGCTTGTAAGAGTTGCTTCTGTTTGCTGACATGGCCTCCTTCATGCAGTTGCTATGATATCACCACTTTCTGCTATGAGCCCTGTTCTTCCTCCAATTAATGTATCTAAATCTCTTCATGGCATGCACCCAATTACGAATAAGCTGATTAGGCAGCATGCATGTTATCGTCTAGTCTCGTCCAATTAAGCAAAGCTGTCTTCCAGCTTTGTTTCTGTATGCAAGTGAGTCTTAATGTTGAATAAAATAGTGTGCCTTGCATGCGTGCAGTTTGTTTCTTGCAAACTAGTTGCCTGCAGGTTCATGATCTTTGTGTTTCTCTCGGTAATCATACCAGATTTGACCTGGATTTTTGGTGTTTATGTTAAGCTGAAACTTGATTTTTGGACTTGAGCCTTAGCTAATAGGGTCGAACCCATCAGGGTCAAGAGGGACTGTTTTCTAGATGCCTAATCCCCCAAATGTAATGGTGAGTTACTGAGTTAAGAAGGAAAATAGACATCTTCAATCCATCAATGTATCCAAACAAGAAGTTTCATCGTTCAAAACACAAAGCTAATCATCTAGTAAGTTCTAAATCAAACAAATATTCTAGCCTCAACTTTAATTACTGCGTCAATCCTATCATGCAAGCAGGCTGCTCAAGGTCCACTAGAAGTAAATAAACGCTAAAGAAAAGACTCAAATATGAATAAAACCACTACAAAAAGTATTTTAATAAAAAATTAATTTTAATTAACCACATAAATTTTGTTAGTAATCATTTTGAACAATTTTGAATAACTTACAATACAAAAATATTACAAGGATATCATATGTGATAAGATCCAACTAACCTCTAATCTTCTATATCTCATAACAATAAGGTGAATTTGAATAATTTTTTATATTCTTTTTAGTGATAATCAATAAAAATCTTTTTAGTAACTCATTTTTTTTTTTAAAACGATGGAAACCTAAACAATAGGCAAAATCATGTGACATTTTTGTCCAAAAGCTATCATAATAGATACCATATGTATACCAATCTAAGTATCAAGTATACAGTATGCCAAGTAGTCCATAATTTCCTTTGCATCTTGCAATATCTATACAACTTTAACATTCCAATTCCTTTGAATCAAGCTTCAAATCTTCATAGTAGAACCCCTATTCAAGTAACTTCTTTATATGATGTCAAAAATTTGAATTTGAAATATCAAATTTTAGAATATTTTTATTGTGATGTATTTTCATTTATCCAAAGACATGCATGAGAGATTGGTTGGAAAGGGTAAAATGGTAACTATCAACCGAGCTAGTGGCACTGTTATTGAGGTTAAATTTTATTTTATTTTTTGAAGTTATAAATACTCAAGCTCATTGCTAACGTAAATAGAAATCCACAATGAACAGGATGGCCAAGTGTGATGATTAATTAATTGTCTCAAACTACAAAATGATGAATCAACACCAAGCTCTACTTGCTTTAAAATTCACTACTTATAGACAACTCAAGATCTCAACTCTTCGAGTGTTCTCTCTTAATCAATTTTCACGATTTTATAATATATGAATAATGAAGTTTATCATTTGTTGGCAGAAGACGAAGTTTATCATCAATTTTCATGTGGCCTCTATTATATGGGCAAATTATTCAGTAAGGACCACTTTGTTCTTGGTCTTCCGAGTGCATCAATGTACATTGCAAATATTATCATAAATTGCGCGGTTGCCTTCAATTATCACAATACGTGATTTATGAGATTAATGGATTCTCTAACTTCACCAGATTCATTGCTGAGAGAAGCAGTTACCAGCCATGCCAATCCGCATATTTCTTCTTAGAGAAAAAGAGTATACTCCGCAGATGGCACATTAAAGACCAATTAATCATTTTAAGATTCTGATCAGGGCAAACAATAAATCTCTCTTAATTATGAACCTCAGATGCTCAAAAATTAGCGCATGCTTCAAGGCTTAACGAGCATTTAAAAAGATTATATTTATGGATCGTTTACTAACAAGATTCATATATTATTAAAAAGACTTCAACCGATGATTTTATGAGATGTGGTGAGTCACATCCTTATTAATTAATTAGACCAATCTTTGTTGGCCACTTGTGGACACCTCCAAAAAAGAAAAAACTAAATAATCTCGCTTGACTTTATTCCATATCTTTATTTTATTTTCAAATAATATTTCACAGATATTTTCGAAAAATAAAAAAAATCGTGTAACTTTAACGGAATATTATCTGCATATATATTTGTTTTGATTTTGGAAAGAATTGAGTATTGAGTAATACCTAAATTCTGTAAAATAAAAATGAAGCATCAAGATCAGACAAAGGTGTGGAAGCATCAAGATCAGAAAAAGGTGTGGGGTTTAACCTGGCCATGCCTATCCGATCCACGTGTGGTATATACATAGTACATACTACGAACGACAACATTAAAAATTCTTTCCCATAAAGACAATCAATCCAATTTTTGGACTCACATAGTGACATTGACGTAGTCGATCACGAGCCTCAATCAATGTATTTGAGGGGGAAAATTGCATTCTACTTATTGATTAACTTTAGAAAAAGCCCTTCAAATATCTTTACACATAAAAACAAAGAACAAAAAAGTATCTATAACTCAAATTTAGAGCATGGAAGACATACATTACATACATGCATGTATATAATATAAAAAATTTACTAGATTTATAATATACAATAGAACTCATTTTCCAGAATCTATAAAATACATGAACCATCCTAAGAAGTTTCTTATACATAATATGTGCAAGAAGCATTATTATTCATAATATGAATATAGTGCAGCTTATTTCAAATTCTTTATGAAAATGTAATGATGCTAGCAAGTTATTTACTTCTTCGTGATAAATACCACATACCACGTAGGTAGTTTTTTTAAATCCCTTGAGTTTTCTTCGGATAAAACCTCGCTTCTAACAATTTTATTACGCAACCGGAAGCAATATATTTAGATGAAAGTAGAGTTGAAGCACAGAAATTAAAATTTTGGACATTAATCCACATACAAATTACTCTTTTTTAGTGATATTTTTTAAGCAAAACTTCTTTTAAAAAAAATATTAAGTTAACGGGAATAAAGAACAATATAACGATCAATATATTGATCATTATATAGCCAAGTGTGATGATGAACAATAATGACTCAACCACAAAATGATCAATCATCAAGGCTCTATCTTGTTTCCAAAATCACTTATCCCCAGGACACAACTCAAGATCTCAACCCTTCGTGTTGCTTTCCTTTAATGAATTATAATGATTATCTAATATATATTGTTTTATCAATTTTCGTGATGAATGGTGTTGGCTTTTGTCCCGCAAGGACCACTTCTTCTTTGTTTGTTTGTTTGTTTTTTGAATGAAAAAGAGAGCAATTAAAATATCAAAATAACTTTACAGACCAGTTCTTTAAGCCTTTTGTTCTCGGTCCCCAAGTGCGTTAATGTACATTGGAAATATTATCGATTAGGGGCGAAAATGGAATCTTTGTTCGAGTGGTTATTATTTTTTCAAGATTAAAATGGTTTTAAATGCTTTTTTCTTGATATATAATCCCTGCTCCTATTTGCATTCATATATATATATATATATATTGAATATACATATTTTAATAACGCAATTTCTGTTACCAATGTTTAATGGGGGTGGAAGGGGAAACTTTGGATAAAAAAAATTATTCTCTCACTACCTATAAATAAAACTGGAGTGAATATAAATATATATACATATATTGTGTTTGTAAGTTTGGTTGCCTTCTCTCGCGTACGTGAGATCAATTGATCCAATCCTTATATCGAGCCGTTTAAGTAAGGTGCTAGTTAAAATAAAACAATGAGGAAATATTGTAAAGCAATCACTTAATTACTCTCTTCATTAAAAAATATAAAGAATTTTTAATTGAATCTCATCTTTCACTAAATTAATTAACTATCTTCAAAACAGTCTTTTTATATTTATCCTTATCATTTCACTTAAAAATGAATATAAAATATTTTATTTATTAAGGGTATTTTTGGAAAGAATACATGAATTATGCTTTAAAATATTAAAAATACCTTATATTTTTTAATGAAAGGTTCAGAAAGATCATTAAAAGTGAGGGAGTTCCTTTCTATAAAGTTTTAACGGTGACTAATTTTGATTAGACAAGATTTGAGTAATATATACGATTTTAAGTAGAAAAGATATGAATATTACCTAAATTTTATAAAAAGAAATAATGAGCATCAGACAAAGGGTATGACGTGTTCGATCCAGCCCCCCTTATCTTTGACTGGTTAACATATTTTTAGTCTATTATTGGAATTTAATCTCTCATAATTTATAAAACTCACTCAAAATTTTCTTCAAGTATTACCGAGTTAAGAGAACATTAGAGTTAAGTCACCAAAGGAGCAACATATCTTTTTTATGAAGCATTTAAATCTGATAATAGCATAGAACGGGGCATTTTCAACACTCAAAAGTCGTTAGAAGTCTACAGATTGAATCAGAATTAAAATTTTAAATTAAAGTAACTTATATAAGATAATAAAATTTAAGCTAAAATTAAACAATTAAATTAAAAATAAAAAATTAAATTGATAGAGAATAACCATTTTATTTTTTTTATCATATGAGAATATCATAGGTAATGAGCTGGTGCTTCATTTTTTTTTTTACCACATGAGAATATCATAGGTAATGAACTGGTGCTTCCTGGTGGTAACAGAAAAACCACCTTTTCCTCATACATGATGATGATGATGATGATGATAGGCACTAGCTTCCATATGCACTAATAAAAAAATGAATTTAAATCCTTAGAAATAGGAATTGATGAATTTAGGTGACGTTTTCTTTTTTATCAATATTTTTTTTATTTTATTGTTTTTGTTAAAATGTAAAATCTTCTCTCGCTTTCTTGAAAAAGAAAACTTTATAAAATTCACCAATACGATTTTTAAAGAATTTAAAATCTATAAAAAAAAATAGTGGGCACCTGTGCTTTCTTCAGTTCCATTTTATGCCATGAAGAGCAACAAACTGCCCCTTTCTTGCTGAAATGAAATTAAGAAGTAAATGAGAAAATTTATCTGGGGATATTGTGAGGAGCAGAGGAAGGTTAACTTAATTACATGGGAAGATCGATCTGTGCGATGGAACCCCTTGCTAATGGTGACTGCAGCCTTATTTCTCTTGAAGCACAAAACAAGGCTTTTCTCTCCAAGGTGGCTCATAAAATAGTTGCAGAGACTGAGCTTTTATGGGTTAGAGTATTGAGAGGTAAATATGGGATACCACAAGAATCATATTCTCTTGGTTTACATCAATCGAATTCATCTTAATTACTTTTGGAGAAACATTGCTGATATTTGGAAAGATACAATGATGCATAACAAGTGGAACCCGGCTGATGGGAAAAGGATCAAGTTCTGGAGTGACTTCTCGGTAGGTGATGCTGGTCCTTTAAAATTAACATCTCTCATTTTGCAGGACAATAACGTCACTGACAGAGGAGAGTGGAAATGGGAGAAGTTTGGTCACCTGCCGCCAAAACACTCTCCTCCTTACTACTGGCAGCTTACTTCTAATGGAGAATTCACAGTCAAGTCAGCCTACAAAACTTCTGATCAGAAATGTGATGAGCCATCACGAAGTTGCACTCGCTTCCAAATTTACTTATCCAAATCTCAACTCAACCAGTTAGAACCGAAAAATTTGGCCAACAAAATGGCGAAAAAGGAGAAAAATTAAAATTCACTGCCAACTCATCTTAATTTGTCACCATCTTCAACAACACATTTTTTCTTAAAATATATAGTAAAATCAAGTGTTTTAGAGAGTAATTTATCTCAACCACAGAATGAATAAGCGTTATCACGAACCTGCACTGGCTTCCAAATTAAAATCCGAAACTCAAAATCTCGACCACTGGTGTTGTTTTCCTTTCCTCAAGTATCTCTTTTTGTTTCCTCTAAAATCTCAATCCTTTTAAGGTTTTTTTAAAAAGAAAAAATGCATGATTCACATGATCATACAAACTCATGAACCAACTTACAAGTATATATCCATCAAATCAGCTTATAAATAACTCTCCTTGCCGCTCACCATCACTTCACAAGAACCACTCATCAACGCAGACAGACAGAGAGAGAGAGAGAGAGAGAGAGAGAGAGAGAGAGACGAGAGAGAGAGAGAGAGAATGGGTTTCAGCAAGATAGGTCTGGTGTTGTTCCTGGTGGCGGCGGCCATCACTGCAGCTGCAGAGGCTCGCTTCGACGTAAACACCGTCGTGGCTCAGGCGTTGATGGGCGGCGAACGGAACTACATGGTCAAGTCCACCACAACAGCCTGCTGTGACAACTGCGCTTGCACCAAGTCATTCCCACCAAAATGCAAGTGCAATGATATATTGCCAGAAAATTGCCACTCTGCTTGTAAGAATTGTATCTGTAATTTCAAATATCCTCGCACGTGCGTCTGCACGGATATCACCAACTTCTGCTACGACTCTTGCTCTTCTGCTGCTAAACCTAACTAGCTAGCACCCGATTTCTGAGAATATGTCTCTAGCATCAATAATAATCAATGGTGTCTTCTTGTCTCATGTGTAAACAAAGCCTATACTATTTATGGCTTTGTTATGTGTCTAATCTCATTAAATAAAATATCTTGTGCCTTGCATGCACGTGCAGTTTGCTTCTTGCAAACTCGTTGCTTGCAGGCTCATGATCTTGCTTTATAACCATGCTTATTCTTTTCTTATTGGAAATTCATTGCTTGTAGCTTATTGTAAGTTTTATATTAAAGTAAAAAACTATTCAAAATATGAAAAATAAATTACATTTAACCTGGACCATCCAATTTTAACTAGTGGCTTGGGGGCTTAGGTGATTCAATGGCAGCATACTTTTTGGACAACCAAAAGGTCAAGGATTCAAACGCTCCGAAGCTCTGATAGCCGGCTGCGGCAGTTCGACCGCCAGTATTGGAGCTTCGACAGCAATGATCCTTTTTCTTTAAAAAAAAAAAACCAGATATATGAGTAATTGCATCATTTCAATGAAAAATTTAACTATAATGAAGGTCACTGGGCCTGCAGAATACTATAAAATTCCACTGTGTGGAAATTTTGTGCTTCTGTGAAAGGCCTTGCTTATGATTACCCTTTTAATAAAGTTATTTTATTATTTTTTAACTTTTATAATTTTATTTTAACTTTTTAATTATATCTTTTTTAAAAAATGAGGAGAAAAAGATAGGTCATTCAATTATCTTTTTAAAATAAGAATAAAATAGAAAAAAATATTTTAACTTTTGGGAAACATCTTATAATGATAATTGATAATTGTTTTGAGGGACTCAAACCAAATTAAGAATCAAATGTATCCCAAACTTTTAACCTTGCATATGTCAAATCTATTACCTTGTACACTAAGCTTATGACCTTACATACTAATTCTATGACCTTGCATTCACGTGCAGTTTGCTTTCCACAAACTCGTTGCTTGCAGGCGCTCATGATCTTGTTTTATATAGGGCGTCCTTTGTTCTTGCATTGTCTTATTGCAAACTGGTTAAAAATTCGACTCATTATCATCATATCATCTTCTCATCAATGTAAGTTGCAGAAATAAAATTATCGGGGAGAGATTCATTGCACATAAAACTATTATTAATTTTTTTTCTTTTGAATAGTACGAGAAACATTTTCATTCAGAATATAAAACGAAGAACACCAGTGCTGTCAATAAACACACAAAACAAATACCAAACAGACACAAAAACAAAACAAAACAACCCAAAACCCATGCTCACTTGATGGGCGGCTTAGGAAACAAAATAAAGTTAAATTATTATTAATATTATTGTTGTCATTGGCTGAAGTGGATGGACCAGTCCCGTACTAATAAAATAGTGGGGGACCGAAGCAATTACAAATCTTAGGATTTGGGTTTAGGGTTCCATAGTTTTCACATAGTTTTCCCCCTCTTTGTCGTAGGATTCCATTTTAATCTCTTCTAATTACAAATCTAATCTTTTTTTTTTGTTGCTACTTATTGCTTGGGGAGGGACTGCGCAAAGATTTTCTTATTCATCAACTCAGGATGCATGGGCCATAACGGTACCTGTATTGTTTACCTAAAGTGATTAAGTGCAAAAATTATAAGAATATGATTATTTTATTTCTGTATTTTCAATTAAGTGAAAAATTTGTAATTCTTTTGCATAAGCTCCCATATCACAGGCTGTTGACCCAAATTAATTAATCCTCAAATATATAATCTGATGGGTGACATTTGAGCCTAAAATTCTGTACTTACCAACTTGTCACATGTGCCTATGTGCATTTTCTACACATCATGGATTTTGTATACATGTTACATGAAATTAAATGTCTCACCACCTACACCTAGTGAGTCCAATATATTATTTTAGGCCATGAAAGCCCTTAAATGAAATCCAATGGCTTGGATATATATATATATATATATATATATAGTCTTGCACTCAAAATGGATCTAGTGGATGAAAATACTCAAGTCAAAGGAACACAAGTTAGAAAGCGAAGTTAGCAACTAATCTATGGGGGAAAAAAAGGAATTGACGTTAGCAACTAAGCTACGGAAAAAAATCAAGGAATTCTTGTTGGAAGGATCGCACTTAAAGCCAAATGTATTTTGAATTGCTTTTACTGACTTTCCCAAATTCAAATACATTTTTTTTCCTTAAAAATACATTTGTTTCAAATGTACAAGTTTACTGGGTCTGTATACACAATATCTGTGAAAAAATATGACAAGGTCCATATGTAAACAATATCATGCCTGTTTATCATACAAAGTTCATGTAGTTGAAGATAAATGCATCTTTTCACCCCAAAAAAAACATCTTTGCATTTAAGCTTTTGAACACATGGAAATAATTTATAATGCATTAGATCTTTCTTAAGTGTGATTTTTTCTATTATGAGGCCTTAGGTGCTATTCTTCTGCTCTTCTTCTCTTATTTTCTATGGCTTAAATCTTTTTCGAAACTCAGTTATGTTATATGGTGCAAAACATGAAGTTAAACAATTTGCTGCCTGTTTGGATAGGAGAATTAATCGATTTTGGGGGCAAAATCGCAATTGGAATGAAAATTATTCAAACTGCAAAAAATTGTGTTAATCGATTATTGACGCCTTAATCACGTTTAGAAAGAAGCTGTGGGTGGCTGCTCCAGGGATTAAATTATTGCAAAGGCTGGAAAGTGTGTGTGGATGAGAGTGTGGTGCTAGGAGCCAATGATCCACCGGCGACTTGCTTTTGCTTTTTATTTTATCCAATTATTTTATTTGCATCTCTTCTATCTATTTTTCCATTATTTGAATTTAAATTTTAAAATTTCAACAAAAAAATTTTTTCAAATCACCAAGTCTTTAACCCACCAGTATCCTTCTCCTGCTTGATTTTGATTTTGATTTTATACATCATAAAGGGCAAGATCAAATAGAGCATGAAAAGGATTATCACATTAATGAATATTCATCCTTATCATTATCCATAACATGTTCATCAGATATGGTCATATCCATGTTATCAATAGAAATCAGGTTGTATGTTATCATTTTTATTAATTATTGTAAAATTAATGTGTAGTATTTAAGAAATATATCTTTCTCTTTTATTAAAGTTATTTGAACTTAGATATATAGAGTTATTTATTTGCATAAATTAGATTGTTAATATTAATATAATTTAAATTTCTATAATTAATTTGATATATAAGTTAAATAATATCTTTTACTTCTTAAATAAAGTTTAAAAAAATTTATAATATTATATGTAACTTTATCGATAATTTAATTTTAAAAAGTAATATCCTTTATGGTAATTTGTATAGTAAAAATTAATTTTAACTAAATCATTCAAATCTTTAATTCTATTAAAATTAATTTTAAAATAAATAATATTTAATTAGATTGAATTTTAATATAATCAATTATAATTAAAAACAATTATATTAATGAATTGTTTTCATAATTGGTTATACTCGTCTGAAATTTACATGGACTCTTGATATTGGATGAGTACACAAATAGCTAAAAACTCTAGGAATTTATGACATTATATTTTTTTTTTCCCCAATAATTTGAGAAAGTATGTCTTGTCCGTCAATCTTTTGTGATTAACTAAATTTTAACCCCGCACCGAGATTGATAAAGTCCGACTGAGGCTGTTTGTAACTCATGATGTAGTTTTTTAAATAATATTTAAAAAATATTTTTAAAATTATTTTTATAAAAAAATAACACACCATTATTTTTTAAATTTATCATATAAGGATATATATGAAAGTGTAAACACTTTTATTTCTTTTACCTTTTCTTTTACAATAATATTGATTAGATTAGTAAAAAAAAATTATAAAAGTATCATATTTCAATTTTCATGTAGAGGAAAAGCTTGAGATATTTCAATAGGAGATTGTGTACTTGTTTGGATACCTTTTTAAAATTAATTTTAGGTTCAAATTATGATTTTGAAAAATTTTATCCAAACATCCTAATTTTTTTAAACTCCATTTGGTTTCCAAAACTCTACTTGAGATAAGTTAAAATTTGTTTCATTTTAAAAAATTAATTTTAAATATTATTAGCTTGTCACCTTAAATAATAGAATTACCCACTTAAAATTAATTCTTAAAAAATTATCCAAACATAATTAACTTTATCATAATCAATTTCTGAAATTTATTCAAACATTATCACATTCTACTAATCAATTTTTTTTTATAATCAATTTTTCAAGTGAAATCCAACACACCTTGTAAGTGCGTGTTTGTCAAAAATTAATTTGATAAAAATTAATATATATGAATATACCTTTCTAAAACCCAATTTAATAAATTAAAAGTTATTTGAATAAATGTAATAAGATGTATTTTTAAATATATAATTATCAAAAAAACACGTTAACTTAGGATAATGTTTAAGTTTTATTATGCAAATATAATATATTAAAAATATTTAAAAATTAATAAACATTTTTAAATAATATAAAATTTGATGCGTTAAATAATAAAATTAAGAAATAATAAGAAGTTTGATATATTGAATAAAAAATATATACATAATCAACTATATATGAATTAAAACTGAAAATTCATATGATTAATTATTCAGTAATGTACAATATGATTTTAAATTGAATGGCACACATGGTTCGGCGTACTTTAAATTGCCATTTAAATTGCCAAAAACAGTGTTTTTTCCCTCTTGAAAAGCACATTTTTAAAAGCTTCAAATTTTCCATATAAAAAATTATCATAATTAGAGTTCACCGTACGACAATATCAGGAACGATTCTGTGTCAATGCACGCGAAAGATATGAAGCCACATGAAACAGTGAAAGTGAGCATATTTTATTGATGAAAGTTGAAAGTTTCATCAGGCGAGTGAACGTAAAGGACATGGGATCATTTCAAGGCATGTGAAACAGTGAAAGTTGTTACTTTGTCCTGTCGTAAACAGCCTCTCTCTTCACAATCGGGGGCAGATCACGTGATGACACGAGAGTCGAGACACCATATCATAAATTTACTAGTGACAGCGATATTTTCATGATAAAATGGGAAAATCACTGCCAAGACGGCTGTAGAACTTTAATTGCAACCATGGTTCAAAACATCTGATTTAACTCTGTGCTCATTGAAGTCCTCCTTGTAATTAATTAATTTTGAGGTTTTTTTTTCCTGCTAGA